ATTTGTTATGTTAGTTCTAAATCTGGTACTATAATGGGGCTTATTATACTTTTTAATCTGTTGTTTTATTTGTTTGTAAAATGTTTCATGGTATAATTTTCTGTAAATTAAAATAAATTATTTATTGTAGGTTTTTATACACATAAATGATATAAGTAAACCATTTAACACTTTACAATAGTTTAATCTGGTTTAACCTTTATATATAAATCCTTGTTTTATACCATTTGACTTGTTTGCTAACTTGGGACCAATCAGATGACTACACATTATTTTGTAGAAATCTGATTGGCTCTAACTGGCGAACAAGTCAATATGTCTTGCTTAAAAATAAATTGCATCTATTTAAATTTGCCGCCACCTTTGTTACTTTCATGGGTGGCTAGATGGCACCACTTCAATATACAGATTACAGATTTCTTTACAAATTTGAAACCGTTTTGAAACTAAAAAATGCATGGGAGTTAGCGTTCTTCTTTAGTGTGTTCTGTTGCATGTACACAAAGCATGTACACATGTACACTATTAGAAATCGGTCTAATTTCTAATATTATCGAGCTTTTAAAATTCGAGAAAGTGATCGGAGATTGTGTTTAAAGTGTTGTGAAATGTTCGTTAGTGCATATTTTTGTGTCGGTAATCGGTATCGGTATAGGCAAATCGCGATGGAGTATACAAATCCGAAGAAGGTGGATATGCTAAGAGCATATATAGGTACTTTCTGGCAGAGGAAAGCACTGTAGAAGCTCGGAGACTTATTCCGAAGAGTACCCGAATAGATAAATCCCTAATGCTCGAACCTTTGTAAGTATGGTTCACTTGAACATTGTTACAGCTCTAATAATATTAGGTATATCGCATAACTTTCCTAAGAAATTTGAGCACTTTGTAGTAGTTTACCTTTTTCTCAATAATATTTCCTTGCATAATATATGCTCGATACATTACCTAGAATTAACAATCAATAATATGATTTTATGAATTTAAGAAAACTACATGTTATTTTTTTAACGACAAAATTTTCGTTAATTATTTTGCAATTTCAGACCAGAACTTGTCTGAAGAGAACTTCTTGGTTTGTTTTAAAAATAATCTTTTTTTTTTTTAATAATATTTTGCAGATAATATATTTACTTCTGAATAAATCTAATCAGATCAAATTTTATTCATAGTATAGAAAACATCGAAACTATTTGACTGGTAATCAAGCTATCAATAACGATGACACTAACAAATTAATGCATAATAAATTGGATAATTATTTTCATGTAACACAAAACTATTATAGTAATTATAACCACAGGAAAAGTACATTAATTACAACATGTTAGTGAGATTTTTGATTTAATGTATTTCTTGTTATATGTAATATATTACTTATCATGTATTGTGATTTACCCAATTTGGCCCTTTTTCCCATTGTGCATCCTTAATTTAAGATTAATGATTTTCTAATACATAATTAAAGTGAATTATTTTCCTTAAAATTACATAATTTTTCACAGGTAAAAATAATAAAAAAAAAAAAAAAAAAAAAAAAAAAAAACGAATTTATTAAGACATTTAAAACTGTTTTACTCATTTCTCCACTATTTTACACCCAACATTATAATCTCATCAAAAAAAAACTCTTCTGCGCTTATACCAACTGAATTATTGAAATTATTTATCATTTGTTGAATAAAATTAAAAGTACTTTTTAACAGGTTTATTTGGCCATTGTTTGCATTGTTTTTTGTTTGTTTTCTGTTCGTTTTGTGCGAGTTTTAAACCCACGATTGCGAATAACCCTTAAACAAAGAACTTAAACTACACCCTACTAGGGATTGTAGAAGGATGGTTTCCGCTCTTTCAAATCGTTTTTAATCGAAGATCGATTTTTATCAAATCGACGTGATTTTATCAAACGATGCTTTGGGTATAATCGATTCTTTTTTTTTTAATAAAAAAAAACTATTTTATTTACAACAGTTTACAGGGTTTATTTATTGTTTAGAATAAGAAAAACACTTTAGTTTTTTTTTTTTTTTGTATAATTTATTTTTTTGCAGTGCATCCCTAGAAAAAGGCCATCTAGCAATGAATTTGAAAAAATTAAGTGTTAAGTGTCGGTGCCGATGCGCCCGATGTTTGTTTATACTTTGATATCAGTTGTCAGATTTTTTGTCGGGCTTCCCAATTTTATATTTTAGATAACGTGAAATTCTATTGATTTTATTTAATGAAACAATTAAAAAAATACTTTTATTTTTATTTTTGGGACACCCCTACTCCATACCTTAAACATTTAGAAAATTGATTTATCTATCTTTATACAACCACCAAAACATTGACCCATAATAGTAATACATCAGTTCAATAGAGGACGCTAAGTCAAAAATTCCCAAATAAAAATTTGTATTTTGTAATTCATTCAGTGTTTTCGAAATCGTCGTTGGGGTTGCGTCGGTTTCGAAGAAATGTCGAAGGAAACCCCGGAATGTCTTTCTACCATCAGTCGCCGGATATAAATAGTTATTAAAGCAAGTTTTTTAACACTTTTTATTGTATTTATGAGTTTAGTGTTTGATTATTATCATGTGAAAAATTTTAAATAATATTTTAAAAGTGATAGGCATGGATAGGTTTTGGATGGTTTCAGTTAATAGATATGTGTTGTATAGTGTTTTGCGTTTTATGTGTGCTGGATAAAAAAAACACTTCTCATCAAAAGGGTAAGCTCTAATAAATATTAAAAGTTAATAATTGTTTTTGAAACGATTGAAAATATATCCTAAGATGGCGAAAAAAGAAGGCCTATAATAATTGTTTATCCACTGTTATCTTTTACGCTCTCTTTTTTTACTTTCCACCTGTAAAATTCTTTTTTAAAACGCATAGCGCGTTTCTCTTCATATGATTTAAGGTAGAGCAATCTTAACTAATGAATAAAATTCATCAAATCTTCGTTTATTTGTGAATTATAGATAAACTAGCACAGTGGTGGGAAATTCGATATTAAATAATCGACTAATCGATAGTAATTTAAACTAAATTAATTCGAATTAATCTTTTCGATATAATCGAGATAAAAATCAGTATATTATTTATATCTGTATCTATACACGTAGGATAAGTCAGTTTAAGTGAAAAATTTTCATTTCGTCAGAAAGGAAAAGAACAATACTACCTTTTATTTGGTTTATTTCCATCTCACCCAAATTTCACCGAACACCTGCCGAACACTAAAATTAATTTTCTTCTTTTATCTAAATAACTATTGATTGCAACTGATAAAATAAAAAGAAATACGAACCGCACGTAAACAAGGACATACTTATATCGTTTTAGAAGAAGCTTTTATTTTAGATATGAGTTTTTCAATAGGAATTGAAACAATCATAAACTCGGCACTTTTAAATTTAAAACTTTAAATTATGGTTTAATTTATTAAACGGCTTCGGCACAGTTAATAGAATCCATTGAATAAAGAATATTTTTTTTATTTTTTATTCAGTGATAGAATATAGGTATGGCAATGGTTCAGATTTGTTTAAAATAGCCCCTAGACGAGCACTAGCTGGGACGAATTTATTTTTAGGTTAAATTTATAATACTACTAAATAATTTGAATTATTAATTCGATTGTGAAATATGAATTATTACTAATTATTCGATGGTGAAAATAATTCGATTATTCCCATCAGTAAGATAAATATACAGAATGTGGGTATGGTAGGAGGTGGCAACGTTGCATTCTCTCCGACATTCTCTCTATGCCCGGCAAACGAATTTCCCGGGATGTGAACAGTGGCACTCAAAAGTTTTTCAACATTTTCCGGAAAATGTCAAGAAATATATAAAATTTTCAACATTTTTTTTTCGCAAAAAAAACCTCATAGGCGTGTTTCTGGGGTTGAACTATAGTACCAGTTAAAATATCTGCACTTATTTCTGGGACACCCTGTATATATATATATATATATATATATATATATATATATATATATATATATATATCCTACCTAAGCCTTCTTAGCTCCATCTACGGTAACGTGGATGAAGCAAGCATGTTTGTCCAGTAGGCCGCTGGTTTTGAATTTTGGCGGTACGATCTGTGATTGTCACGGCTACCGCTAGATGGCGTAGAGCGTCTAGCACTCTTGCCATAGTAGTACTTATTGTACTCAAATGCTATTCTCTGCTTTTCGTTGGTCAGATCGAGGGTTACAGCAAAGTCGGCCTGACAATGGAGAAAAATCTCCGAAACCGGTCGTCGAATGGCTGTCCCCTTCAGTCTGATGAACTTATTGCAGAGAATAAGCATATATGTAGGTTTTTTTTGCCCCTTTTTCCGCTACTCGTATTTTTGTTCATTTATTATATATACCCTACCTAAGCCTTCTTAGCTCCATCTACGGTAAAGTGGATGAAGCAAGCAATTTTTTAATACGTCAATCAAGCCTCACGTATGTCATATACTAACCTTAGATTAAGAATAAAAAATACTAACATACCAAAACTCGATTATTATCTAAAAAAAATTATAGGAATGAGTCACTTTCGCGACGCCACCCAGTGTAGAAAAAACAACAATCGCAGACAAAGATTGAACAAAGAGAAGAATTTTGAAGTATATCTTTAAGTGAAAATTTATTGTTAAAGTAGCATAAATATGCTTAGTTGCAGTTAAAGTATAGGACTGAAGGAAAAAGAGAGTTATAATAAATGTTAAGGGGGGGTGGGGCGCCAGAGAGGGTACTCGCCCGGTCTCAATATTTTCCTTCCGCCGGCCCTGCATAAAAGTGCAAATATTTTCAGAGCTGGTATATTTCCTCCCCAGAAACACGTCTATGATTTTTTTTGCAAATAAGAGATGTTGAAAATCGTGCATTTTATATTAAATTTCAGTGTATATTTTAGAAAACCGTGCTACCTTCCCGTTTGGGAGGTGGGTTCAAAATTGTACCTATATAAAACACCAAATTTTAGTTCAATGTAATTACACAATAAAACACAAATTAACAAGACAGACGTTTATTCAGATGTAGGGTAGCTCATCATTTGAAACAATACAATTTAAAATGGTTTAAATAATTATTACAATAATATAGAGAAATTAAAATGACTATATTATAAATTAAATATTTGCAATAATTGATAATACTGGTTACCCGTTAGATGACCAGTTAGTGTAACCTAGACTAAAAAATTACCTACTCTACTAAAATTTAATATAAATGAAAAACGGGGTACCCACGATATAAATGATACTTATAATTACTAAATAAATGGTCTTTAACTAAAACTAATCAGAAGCAACAAAAAAAATAGGTACAATATTTATTAAGTACGCAGGAACGAGAGGGAGCTAATAAAGAGTTTGGTACTTAGCTTTTATTCGTAAGGGTCCCAAAAAAATCCCCTACGCCAGGATCTGCCGCACAACCAGAAGGCCCAACCACGTGGCTTCCCCTTAGCTGATCAATTGGTTTGAACAGGAACCTCGCTAGCCAGTCGTGAAAACCCTCGTGGAATCAAGTTGGTGCGTAAAAAGAAAAACCAAACCAAGGTGCCTAATTTAAAATTAACCCAATAAAAATTTTTCCCACGTGATAATTAATAAACCAAAATTAACTTACCCAAACTGTGGGTGATTTCCTTGGAAATAATACAAAAGATGCAACGCTATTAGTTTCGTCTCAATCCAGCCGTAGCTGTATGATATAAATAATATCAATTAAACGTGGAGAATTATTAACCTTTCCCAAAATCAAATGAAAGGATTTTTCAACTCAAAACGTGACTTCACTGCCAGCGTGCCGAAAAGAAAAGAAAGGAAATCACCAGACAGGTGGGCGCTTGGAATTTTAATATCGAAACCCCCTCCTGATATAAATTTAGCTATAAAATCCCTAGGTACATCCGCAACCAGTTAAGTACCAATGTTGCCAGGAGTAATCCGATAATAAAAGAAACTTAATAATAAATCAAACAATAATAATAAGTTAAATGCAATTACAACTAGATACAATTGATAAGAGTTTAAGATCATTAATAAATAAAAGTATTAAAATAAGTTAAACACTAAAATTAATTATTTAGAGACTAAATATGAATGAGGTGAAATATGATTTAAGAAAACTTCAAGAAGCTGGCAACACCGTTATACCCGTTGATGATTTGACGTTTCTGCCCTAACCACAAATTAATTAATCTAAACAAAAATCACAATCAGATTATTTATTAATAATAATTATTGAAGGTATTATTGTTATTAAAAAGGTTTGGTTTTTGGTACATCGTTTCGTATAATATAATTAATATAATATGGTTTCCCTTTGTAGCAACTATGGAGTCTAAAAGGAGGAGGCGAATCGAACGCAAAAATTATGGGCCCAGTTTTTGAGATCTAAATGAAGTTCGAAAATCGCCGTTAGGGGCGCTTGTGATGATTGGGATACTAGAAATACACAGCTTCTTATGGCAAGAATAACTATTTTGTTATAAATTATAGAGCCAAGTTAATATTTGGGCATATTTTTACCAGAGTTAGCTTTTAGAAACGTGGTTTTTCTAATTGAGCAATGTGCGTGGCTAAAATTGTGAATACAAAACCTTAAATTTGAGTTTGAAAAGTTAGTTAGGTTATATTAGATGCCGGTTTAATATATCCTTTTCCTAAGTTGATATTATAAAAATGTTTTATTATGTGGTTCTTTTTAGTGCATACACGACCGAAGAAACATATAAGCTGCTAAAATAAATCTTCCCTAGAACTGTTGTACAAAAAAGATAGAAGTTCCAGCAACAAATTTATCACCAGTTCAACCTTTGATTTGATGTAAACAGTAATTGTTTCTTGATGAGAAATGCGAATGAAATAGTTTATGGTGTGATTGTGTTAGTGTTTTATTAATAGTTTTGTTGATGCAGTTTAAAGGTTCATAGTTTTTCATTAAAACATTTGAAATTGACATGTTTACATGCAGTTTAGTGTGATACCATTTTAATAAACATTAAAATCTTTCGAACTAGTAGTGGTTTTATGGCGATTGACAGATTGAATAACGAAAATTAAGAGTATTTTATCAGGAATAACTTAATCATAAATGGAAACTGAAGACGAACGTTACCATTGCACCCTTTGATCGGTGTTATCTATTCCATAACTTTTTATAGCTGAAACTAGAGAGTAGGTATATTGAGCTGAAACGTTTCCTGTGTTCAATAGCGTTTTTTCTAGCGTTGAATTGTAAGTTTTAATGTCATTAGCAAAGTTTTGCAAATTGTCACTGTTTCGTAGACAATTAAATTCAAGATATATTATATTCAATGTCACCTAATAATTGTAAAGGTTTTTCTATTGATATTCACTTTATTAATATAAGGTAGGTTTGTAAATAAAATATTAATGAATAAATAATGTACTCAGTTTATTTCAAAAGCACAAAAATACAGAGTTGTGAATATGTATATACGCTGACTTATTTCATCATATAAATATTTATTTAGCAATATTAATACATTACAACTTTTGTTTCTATTAACTAATTCCACTAAATTTAATAAATAAAATATAATATAATAATATAGAATTTCATTCTCATTCTCAAAGTTAGGTTCTGAAGTTTGATTTTCAACATGATTAATAGGCAGACCTTTTACTTTTTTTGAATTAGAAACTTTTTCAGTTGCTTCACTCCTTACACATGGTGGTTTCCTCTTTCTTTTATTACTAGAGAAATATGAAGGCAGGTTAGGAAAAATTCTTGGAATTGAACCCTCCTTTAATAATGGTCTACCCCGCTCAATTCTACTGATAGTTCCGTCAGTTAATTTGATCTCATAATGAGTCAAAATATCTTCATCTAGAAAATGTAGTTCACAAACAGCATCTTTGCTGCTAAGTGTCTTGTCTGATCTGGGTATCGCCTTTTGCCACTGCTGTAGCAAGCTAGGATCCTAATAAAAGATATATAATTGTTAAATAAAATAAAAAAAAACATTTTTCACTATTAAAGCTGTTATTTTGAGAATACGATCTTGAAGTATAAATATTTAATATTCACTTTCAATAGCACTGTTCAAACTGTGGTTAATATAGGTACATGTCAACAGGTAATTTTAGCACCTAGTAAGTATTAAATTATTTTAATTTTATAACAAGGCCTCCTAGGTTATGTTATACACATATGTTGATTTTAGGCTATATTTCCTATTAATTTGGTTTATAATTTAATCTGTACACTGACAGTATATAATTTTAATGTTTTTCTTAACATCTATCCATAATTTTTATAAATAAATAGTCATACTACTTACATTAGGAGCTTTGAAAAGGCTTGGGTTTCTTTCACCCCGTTCTTTATTTGCCTTGTTTTTATTGGGATTCCCACTTGTACAGCCAGGTACAAAGCAATTTCTACCACGACTCATTGTTGTACTGCTAAAAATTCAGTAAATTAACTATAAATTTTATTAAAAACACAATTAAATCGTATACTAACAATGAAAATGTAGTATCCCAGTCGATCGCAGTGCCTCTGCTGTCAAACCGAGGAAGCTGCTTAAAAGTGGGGACAGAAATTTCAAATTTGCCCATTGCCGATAAATCTCCTTTTTTAAGCCCTCCATAGTAGCAACCAAACAACTAACAAAATGCAATGAATATTTCCACTTGAACAGAAGTAAACAAATACCAAAAGTAAGTATATAAAGTGGTTATTATTAATATTACTTTAATTAACGTTATTTTAGATAAATAAGAAGTCTTTACACGATGCATTTACCCTTCCATAACCTGAAGAATAATACCTCAAGATCGAGTCAAAGATATTATTTACAAAATATTACATTTGGCTAAAAAATACAACAATATGAAGTTAAATTATGATTTAAAGTTAATGCACATTTACTTTACTTGTAAATAGAAAATAAATAAATAATTAATATGTATTAAGAAATGTATTGTTATATTTTATTAACGTGCCATCTTCAAGGTTATAAACAAAATAATAAATCACCACATTCACCATTTTGTCAAGATATATCAATTAAAATAAATATAAGAAAATTAATTCCCCTTTAAAATATATAACCGTAACAACCGTTCAGAACTGCTTGTTCACTCTGATATTACCATGGTTTTGACGCAAAAATGAATGCAAATAGACTGAATAGAATAATTTTGAGAGGCACCATGAAAATCTGGTGCCTCTCAAAATTATTTAGGAATAAATATTTTTTTTTTAATTTTTAATCTTGAATAATTCGGACTTATTTGAAAACGGTAAAGAGGCATTTGTTTCTTTTATCGAGATATAACAGCGCTGAAAATATTTGCACTTATTTAAGACTCGCCTTTATAGTAAATGTATCTCTATCACTATGGAGATTTAACCCTTAAGTACTCGCCTGACAGGCGCCAAGTAAATTTTAAACTTAAGTGTATCTTATTGCTTTATGCCTACTCCAATGGGCCTTTGTGTATTCCTCTAGGCAATATTCAAAAATACAATAGATTTGATAATTTAATATAATATTAATTTGCTTCAGGTATATTATAAACAATGCATCCTCTGGTGCCTCTACGGCCTGAGCTATATATGTCCTAGATCAAAAAATAGACAATAAATACCAAATATATTTTAATTGTTCAGACCATATGTTCAAAATATATGTTCAGACCATTCCAAAAATGTGTGTATTGAACGTTTTCAAAATGATTAATTTTGTTCTAGCGGCACTAAGTTTAAATCTTGCGATTAGGCATTTAGTTTCCATGTTCATTCAATGCCTAAATATTTTTATTTAATTTATTTTAGTATATAAAAATGCACAATTTAAATAAATTTTACCAATTATTTACCCTGGCGCCTTCCAGGGTACGAGTACTTAAGGGTACAAGTACTTAAGGGTTAAAGAAAACTATACTTTGGTAGAATATGTGCAAAAGTTTAATTATTATACAGGGTTGTTCACCACATACGACACGGAGTATTGTAATTAAACGATAAGATTTTTACAAATTGTAAGTTTTGGGTTCGTTGAAGGACTATTAGAGCTACAATTTAAAAATATTTTTACAAGATACAGAGTGTCCCAAATAAATAAAAAATATCAAAGTTGTATTTTTTTAAATAAAACACCCTGTATATTATTACATTTTTAGTTTCTACGATTAAAATTAAGGTAAATTTGATTAAGGTTTATTACACTTGAAATATTTTCAATTTTGTGAAATTGCAGTCAAAATTTTAAGGCTTCATTTCTTCAAGGGTATCAAAGTTTTTAATACTAAATATTTACTGAAGTTTATTTATTGATAAGTTACTGTGTTGCAATAATAAAAATTATACTACCTTATACAGAGTGTACCTAAAATTTTATTATAAATAATTACTAGCTCTAAACGGAAATAACTTGTTTAATTTAAATGGAACACCCTGTATATTTTATGAGAATCAGATGCACTATTTAATTGTCTATCAAATTATATTATACCATTTTTACCTATCTCTTCAAGTTTCCGTAGAAAATGCATTTTCTTTTAATTTAAAACTCATTTATCAATATAGCCCATGGAATACTGACATTTTAGATTATTTTTAAAGATGTACCAAATTTTTGTACCTAGTGGAGTAGGCCTCCGGGGAGACCACGTTAAAATAAACGCGCCATGTACTTTACCTCTTGGGTGGTGTGGAAACAAGTACACATTTTCAATAATTAAAATTAATTATTCATAAATTAATGAGCAAATTAATGATACGCCACTGTTTCATGACCTTAAACTAAACTAAAACTAGTTTTAATGAACCCTAATCGACATTTGATTTCGGAGAATCGACTATACATAATATATCATATTTTACGCAAAATTGTAAAATTTCCAGGGATTTTGTGCCTAAACGGTTGACTTTAGCGAAAATTTTCATAAAACCTTTTTTATAGGAAATTTTTATTCTCTTTAATTTTGCTCTCTCCAAATTTTCGCGAAAAACGCATAGTTTTCGAGATATTCACAAAAAAACGATTTTGGGCGCCATCTTGGCAAGATGGCGGCGCCGGCGGCAAATCTGGAAATGTGCATTTTATGGATTTTAGTTAGGGACACCAAAACCTATAAACCTGCAAAGTTGCAAAACTTCCGGACTTTTTTCCAAGCAAAAATCCCCAATGACTGAACTATGTTATTAGTTTTGTATCAAAGCAAATCAATAAAATTTTGTTTATAGCATCTAGGATACTGAAATCGATAAAGTGTCATGATACAACTTATAACCGGCATTAAACGGCCTATGCAATTTTGCAAACAAGAGAAGAAAGTTAGTTGCGCACATGTTTTTTTTAGAAAACAGTGATAACCCATATGCACATCCTGGATGAAAGTGTCGGCACTTTTTAGCAATAAAATATGTATCTGCATTTATAATAACTTTTACCGTCAAAATTTCATTGGAATCACTAAAAGTGCTTTAGTTATTCATGAGTCGGGTTGCCACCTTTTTGGAAAGTTAAAAAAGGACGTTGGATTATGAAAAAGGACCGATGATGGGGAGGGGGGGGGGTAAGTTGTTGATTGCGAACCGCTGATTATAAATCGCTACTCCTAAAATTTTGAAAATCTCTTTTTTAAGGTCAAAATGGTTAAAAATTGCAATTTATTGTAAGCACATTGTCGAAATACAGGGTGCAGGGTGTTTCACAAAACATGTGCAATCTCTCGTGGAGAGATTCCTCACGTAAAAATAACATTTATTTTTTATATAAACATAGGTTCGATTCTGCTTTGTTTCTTTGCTACAGGGGTTAACGCCTTAATTTTTTTTTCGATTTATTATAATTTTCTTTCAAGTACTTTTCGTGATTCAAATGAAATTTTGAGGGTAAAAGTTATTATAAATGCTAGATACATGTTTAATCGCTAAAAAAGTGCCGACGATTTTATTATATCAATCGGTAAATAATTTAAATAGCTGTCGTTTATTTTACTAAGTAGATCGTTTAAACTTTTGCAAACTACTGTATTATTACATAACGGCTCTATGCAAATATGTAAATAACGTTGTCCTTTTATTTAGGTAATAACCTAAATCATTGATATGTGTAAGCTGCGTGAAAAGATATAACTGTGGCGGTTACGCTGCCGCACAGTTTTGGCTGCAACTATAGCACGGGATGCGAGGGGTATTTCGCAGGGGAATTTTGGTGTACAACCTCTAGGAATTAGTGGGGAATTAGTGGGAAATTAGTAGGGAATTAGAGGAATTAGTGGGGAATTAGTAGGGAATTAGAGAAATTAGTGGGGAATTAGTGAAGAATTAGTGGGGAATTAGAAGAACTTAGTAGGGAATTAGTGGGGAATTAGAGGAATTTAGTGGGGAATTTGTTAGCTTATAGAATAACTGCATCGATATAAATACCTCATTGAAAAAATTATACAAAATCGATATCCAAAATGAGGATAATGTTCTATCTAAATGGAATAGAAAAACATATCAAAGGTGAGAGGGAGAAACGAGCTAGAGAACAATTGGTAGATGACCAAAGTTTAATCACGGATTACTTTTTCATTACTGAAAAAGTGAGTGAAATAATCATTAAAAACAGTGAACTAGCGAAGGAACTTTTGGAGAATATAAGTGAATTAGAAACGGACCAAAAGACTGATATACCGCGACTTCTCAAAACATTGCAAGATGTATCACTCAAAAATTATACTTGCTCAAACAATCAAAATAGGTACGATGAGGCTACAAAAAATTTCGCGGTGTACCTCTTTTATGTTGAAGGCAGGTTACTTTACGAGACACTACAATCAAATTTGAAAAATAGCTTACCCTCAATTTCTACGCTAAATAGATTCGTGGACGCCCTACAAGAAGCTAAAAACGACGAAGCTGAAAACGATTCGCTAAAAACGACGCCCTACAAGAAGGTGAATTTGATTTCAAAGGCCCCTCGTCTTTTAAGAGCTATGCGTTTAAATACGTATTTGGTATCTCCTTTAGCAGAAAAAAAAACATATTCCACACACAAGCTCCAGAGCTCCTACATTCTTCGTCACTTCGTCACCAGACTGGGAGTGGTATCAGTGTAGCATAGACAAAATGAAAAATGCTATGTATAGGATACCACTCATATTTTAACAAAAATGCGTAGGCGTTTCCTAAAACCGAAAATAAATCTACCGATTGGAAAATACACTGCCACCTCGGATCATTTCAGGGAATTGGTCCTAAAGGTTTCAAAAGATAAACACTCAAAAATGAAGACAAGATGAATTTTGCCTCCGCAGAAAAAATGTGCAGTCTGATGGTAATTGAACAACTTATCAAGGAAATTCCAAAAAGTAAAGGGAGTGTGGCTTATCTTAAACTTATGAATTACGTTAAATCGTCGTTCCTCGATTCCCGCACTGTTTTGCGTATTCGGCTATATCGCATCTGGTATGTAATATTCTTCACTAGAATCTGGAGAGATTGGATTAAAGAAAAAAAAAGAATACCAAACATCAGAAAATTTTTTGATCAGTAATTGTTACCTTTGCATCGAGATGAACGCCCATGCTTTAATTAAACTGATACTGAAGATTAAAAACTCCGAGTTAAGACCAGAAATGTTAAGCATCGGAATTCTTGGTAGCCAA